TCTCTCTCTCTCTCTCTCTCTCTCTCTCTCTCCTCTTTGACTTGTTTGCTCTGCATCATGCGCGAGGGATTTCCTCCTCGTTTTACTCAGAATGCTGGGATAAGTCATTCTCTCCTCGAGCTCAGCTTCGTACAATTACTTCTTGATGAGAGTATATTTGGTTCCTCTTTATTACCTTTAATCCTCTTCAGGTAATTCCAGTCTTTCTCTCTCCTTTAAGAAAAAAAAAATTATGTTTATTACATTTAATCCTTTTTAGGTAACCTTTAAATAAATATAAAGATAAGATTGCGTATATTGTCTTTCCTCGATTATTATGCTTGTGAGAGTCTACAAACGAAGTTTGATTCGGACTAAAAATTATGGTATCGAAACAATAATCGTTTATACATTGAAATGTACTACGCATCCTATTTAGAATATAATAGTGTTTCTGGCTCAACAATGGCGTATGGGAGATATTGATGATTTGCGTGTGGCCCAACAATGACATCAACAAATTAGGAGGGAGAAACTTAGTCTCACATGAGTTATCGCTAACACAATAGAGATTAGAATATGGCATGAAACATGGAGATCTTATCCTTAAGTCTATATTAGTTCTCTTCAATTTAAAGGTGGAGTGGTGTATTATTCCAATCAGTGCGAGCATTTGCAGCTGTTGGCACCCGTGAATTAATGGTGGATCGATGAGCTCCAGAAAATATGAGGACCCAACGGGCGTGATGGCGATTTAATGGCCGTCGTATTGAACTCGAAGCCTTTCCCACAGTGTAATGGACGTCCACAAATTACAGGCCGAGAGGTTAATGCCCATAAATGGGCTTTGAAGATGACAGTAAAGAGTGAGGCGAGCTGGCTGATTAGTTGGCGGTGGCAGTGTGCGAGAGCTGATGCATTAAACATCACACGCTTTGAGGACTACTTGCTTTGGATTGGTGTCGTGTGTAAATGGTAGTATAATGGTATGTGTGGTGAGTCACATTTGTGTAGCATTAAACAGTACACGCTTTCCGGGCCATCATCATCATTATCATCATCATCGTGAATTCATTGTAGTTGTTGTTCATAGGTATCTATCATTCGATAGAAGTTTCTATGATGCAGGAAATTAAATCTTACGAACAACTCGACCATCGTTCCATGTGGAGATCGATAACAGGTGAGTCTTTCTTCTTCTTCCTCTCTTTTGGATCGTACATTTTCCTCTTTCTCGAATCATACATTTGATGATCCAAATTCCTTGTTTGTCTCTGATTCCAAGTTCAGGCAAAAATACCTCACAATGTCAGTAAAATTCAAACAAAAAATATTTTTATGCACAAAATATATATTTTTTAATTACAAAAAAGATTGATTATCGATTCTAACCTCCCCTCTCTTTCCACTACCTAACTCGCATGAACATAAGAATCATATCAAAAACCCCATTCGACATCGATGTTCCACCCGACATCGAATGTCGAAGCACATCAAGTTTCCTAGCACAATTAAGACTCGTAAAGCAAGTCAGATCCAGACCGAATTGTGCTAGTCAATCACCCCAAGTTTGCCACCAACATCATTCCTGAGTAGGTAGTGACCAAATCAGAACCACGGGAGAGTATCCCCAATTGTTTACATCAGGCAAGTTCTTATTCCACCAATCTCTATCTGCTGATAGCTGACATAAGGTGCAGATATAGGCAGATTAATACAACACAAAGACTATAATATATATATATATACACACACACACTGTTATTGTTCTCTGGTACTTCACCTTTACCAGCACATGTTATGTATTATGGCCTGCTTTCCTCACCTTCTGCTGATGAACCGGTCTCCTTTACTTCAGCCCTCCTTCCTGCATCATCACTATAACCTGCACCTTTCTCCTTTGACGTTGGGTTATGTTCTGAATCGGCGTTGAGGTCTTCTGTAATAACATCCTCCTCCATCTGTGCACCATGATCAGCTTGAATGCCTGCATCCTCAGTGGCCTGAGAAGTCTGTTCTGTTGTGCCAGAGGCACCGGCTTCGGAGCCCTCGGTGACCGGCACAGTCTTCTTAACTGTACCCACCTTCATGTATTTGCTCATGAACTTGTACTCCCAGTCCTGCAATGCATCGAGCTCAAAGGGACCGAGCTCAGAAATATCACTAGTCAAGTCCTTTGGTTCGAAGGACATCTTAGCTAGTGCTCTGCTTGCGTCTTTACCAGCAAACAGTGCATATGGCCCGCCTGGTCCATAAAACATCCTGAAGAAGATATTGAAGTGTGAGTATAAGAAGGATTGGTGATGCTATTGATGAGTATCAAGTAACAACAGCATATATAGGTTAATTTCATATAGATGAGTTAAAGCCTTTTTCAAGTTAGTATAAATAAAATGCAAAACATATAGAGTCAGATTATGTTAGGGCTTAAAGATGCATCATTGAACTTCAATGATTATTTATTTAACCAAGTTGCATTCCAAAGGCAGGCAAACACTAGACTCACTGATGAATTAGAATGGTGACATAGCTGTCTTACAGTTAAAATGTCCAATGTCCATACAACCTCTAATGCTAAATTGAAGGTGAAAAAAGTACTCTCGGCAAGTTCTGACGCTACTGTCAGCAGACACAATTTCTATAGATAAAATTTGATTATGGATGGGTTCAAAAGTCGGTCTTTACAATTCATTTCTAAAGTCCGACGAATAAATGGATTCTTTCACATAATGTATCCAAGAAGTCATTGAGCAGATATCTAATGCTTAAAAATATCAGTATGTATGGAATGAGGAGGGAGGTTGAAGGCAGAGGCAAAAGTGATATTGCAATTGGTATATATAGTTAGATCTAAATTCATGATAGGACCTGACTGTACAAGATAGAGAAAAAATCTCAAATCAAGTGCTCACTTGCTAGATGCCACAAACAGATAATAAAACAACCAATTGAAATGTTTATATACATACCACCAACTGGTACGAAATAGTTAGATCTGAGTTCCAGGCTTTTATGGCAAAACCAGTGAAATCCATTGGCATACAACCCACCAATAGCAAATCATTATGAACTAGAAGGGACATGTATAAGCAGCAGACAAACTTGTTGTGAAAGCTCAAAACAAGCAATGTTAACATGTGAAGCTCCAACTAAATTTTTTTTAATGATAGTAGGTGGCCAAAATCACTTAGAAAGAAAAGAACAACTACCATAAAAAAATATTAGTGGCTAATGATATTGAAATTCTTATAACATCACTAGCAAAAGTGCTAATTACAATTACAAATATGGACTGCATAATATATGTATATAGATGCAAAAACTCCATTATAAAGGTAACAAAGAAATGCAAATGATTCCGTAGACTTCTACCAAGGATATCAAAATTACCAACTAGCAAGATGCACATCATCAAACAAGTATTATCCCAACACTTCATGTCAAATAATTATTTATATTTTCAGGACTTTTTCTATGTAAGCTAGATTTCACTACAAGAAGTGAATATGCAACATCTGCAGGAAAAGGCCTAACACTTGTGGATATCACAGAATCTGCATAAACATCTCTTCGTTTTATTAGATGCAATAATCAGACAGTATATCCTACAATAACACAATCTGAAGAGATTAATCTTTCCTTCGAGTAACCTAAGTTCATTGCAGAGTGATTTGCTTTTAATCAGAAGAAAAGGAAAAAGCATTCAAAGAGACAACAAACAAAGAAGTATTTATTTTTTTCTCAATAATCAACTACTCGGTATTCTTTCTTAGGAAAGGAGATTATTTCTCTCAAAGATCAGCTAATCGATACTCTTTCTCAGGACTCCTAATAACAACATAATGAGTACAATAGCTCTGTTTTGTAATAAAAACAAGCAGCCTACAGAAAATGATAGGATGACTTTGCGGCAAAGCGATTGCATAAACTAATTATCATAAAAATATATATATTTAGGCGTTAACACAACACCGAAAAGACGATGAAAATAAGTAATTTTACTAAATTGAAGCTGAATGAAGTCTTAATTATCGGCCGCTAAGCAAACAAAGACGAAAAATTGATAGGATGGGCAAAAAGAACTCCGGAAATCGAAGCCTTTATCGCAGAAATTAGATGCGAACAAGTTAATTCTCTCGTCTCTAGAAACCCTAGCGGAACCAAACTGAAGGAAACATAAAACTTCAGACACCGTGAACACATAGGTTAAGAGTTGGAAGGATAGATAGAGAGGATAAGGTGGGATGGTGTAGAAGGACCTGCTCTGGGTGACGTCGTAGATCTGGCCCTTGATGGCCATGAGGAGCGGCTTCTTGGGGTCGGAGCCGTCGTAGTCGCGGAGCTCCTCCTCGGTGATCTCCCCGAGTTGCACAGGCGGCGGGAGAGGCTCCATACCTTCGAGCTCCTCAGCGTCCCGCTTACGCCGCGGCGGCGGCGGCGGCTGGAAGAACCCCGCCACCGCGTAGTAGAAGGCTGCCGCTATCGCCAGCACCGTGAAGAAAGTTGTCACCGACAGACCCGTGTACGTCTCGATCGCCTCCTTCAGCGTCGCCCACATCTCCGCCACCGCCATCGGTCTCTCTGTACTCTCTCCTCTCCGCCGCAACGGAAAGTCCTTTTATTGCATCAAGGTGGGCCCTTCGAAGTCTGAAACGGTACTGCCGTGTAGACAGTCCAAATCAGGAGCCGTCCTAAACGCGTCGGTTGATTATTCTGTTCCATCGACCACGTTGGACCCCACATATCCTCGCAATCCAAGGCTACCGCGTGGCGATGAAGTCCTAAAAGCTGTCTGGACTCGAACAGGTGAGCCGCATTCCTACGCAGATTTTTTATGGGCGAAGGAAACTCCTCTCCGTCTCCGTCTCGAACGTGCTCTCGTGCTCTTAATCTCAGCCGTTCGCTCAACCAAGAGAGAAACGTAATTGGAATTGTAAGATTTATTTTGTTGACGGTTCTCCCATGTGATCGGCAGCACCTTCAGTTCGTCGAACGGGATTAGGTGAGGACCGGGTTTGGCACCCCCGTCGAAGTATGGGTTCCTTGTATCTAATAAACAATGTTGATATGGTCGGCTAATTTAAGCCATCTTAAAGTTCAATGACATCTCCATGAACTCCTAAGCTTCCATGCAACATCACCATCTCCAACTGCTTCCAAAACTGAGGCGGCCGGCCGCTAGCGGCGGCACCATGGTTGAGTATATCTGCCGGCGATGTGATCTCCTCCATCACCTGTCACCGCCGCAGATAGAGAGAAGCAACAGCCATCACCTATGAACAAGGACCTGTCCGCCAAACTGTTCACCTTCACCCACGCCCTCTGCGCCAGATCGGCTCTCGAGACGTCCACCTGCGATGCAGGCAATCTGAGGACGGCCAGCGGCAGCTCTCCCCCTGACTCCACGAGGAAATGGTCAATGTGCAATGTGCATAAGAAGTTCACTGTAATCATCCGACATTTTCACATTTTTAGTACTAAAAGAAGAATACGATGTCGTAAGAATGCTCGTCTGTCGATCCTCTTAGTGAACATTCGAGCGATAGGTTTTATCCTCGACCTATAATAATTTTACTAAAGGGAGACAACAGCCACCCTTTCTACACATTGATGTATCCACTTCAACGCAAACACTAGTATGATACCAAACATCTATTCATTGACCTGAGTCTTTCATCGAAGTATTCTTAAATCTCACTCAGAAAGTATAGACACTAATGGGCGTGATACAGATTGTCGCTTCACTTTTGCCCTAGTTAGCCTAACGGGCGATGTCACCAACTCAATTGCTATCATCGACTCAACTGCCATGGGTACTCATCGAGGTTCCCTCACCTGACGTGGTGCCGACATCCCAAGAGTGCTCAAAACCTGTTGAATCGCTGGTTGAGGGGGTATTTCAATTCCCAACTATGGAATTTAATAGACCACACCACTACTCTACCATGCCTGAATCCGAGACTTATCAATAAATTCGATGAAGGATTTCTTACGGATCCAACTACGATATATAGATCGATGTTTGGATGAGATACAATGAGATTTTCAACAATCAAAAGGGGAAGCACCAGTCGACCTCACCTCGGGTCGGTCACCTTTCACCTAAAAAATTCACAATGAACTAATTCTAATGAATTTTCGTCTCCTGTCGTTGGAAGTATTCGATGACAGTACCAACCTAATGGAGTACATTATAGCTTTTCATACCAAATGTTAGTATTTCGGATGCCTAGATGTACCATACCTTTTTGACCACATTAAGAGTCTCAGCACAAGAACGACATGCTCGTTTGAAGTCATTTTTCATCATTTTTTTACCCAACTCATAACAATATCATCAGCAAGACTTTTTGAACTCATGCAATGAGAGGAAGAAACACTTAGACTTCGTCACTCGGTTCATCAATGAAATCTAAGACGTGGTAGATACTCATTCGTCGTTCATGATACAGGCCTTTATGATGAAACTTAAGTCCTCTCAACTTTTCTAGTCATTGATAGAGGAACCATTAATGATGGTACTAAAGGCACTTCAAATGACCGATCAATATATTGCTACTGAGGTAATGGTCTCGAATAAACGTAAAAAGTTATGCAAGAGGTTGAAGTCGAATTGATCACGATCCACCTCGAACCCAAGGTTAGGGCAACGAAAGAGAAACGAACAACCTGAGTTGCCTCACCGTTCAAGTTGATTCTTCTGAGGGTAACATTGTAATTTCAACACTATCGAAAGATTAAGTATTAAAGAAACTGATCCAAGAAAGTCTCCTCTTCTTCTCGAAGAGCTCGCAATCCAGACAAGAAATGGAAGGGGCAATCCATACCACAACCTCCAAAATGTTGGGATATTTCACGGATAGTCCATTCGACTGCATCTCCTCGGAATACATTCTTACTTGCCAATCCTTCCTATGGCAGGATTGCACTGGTGACGGGGGCCAACAAAGGAATTGGGCTTGAGATTTGCCGGCAGCTGTTGTCCAAAGGGTCCATGGTCATCTTAACAGCCAGAGACGAGCAGAGGGGACATGCGGCTATCGCCAACCTTCAGGCTTCGGGTGCATCTGATTCTGATGTGCTTTTCCATCAGTTGGATGTGGCCGACTCTGCTAGTGTTGCTTCCTTGGCAGATTTCGTCCGTGACCAGTTTGGCAAGCTTGATGTGCTGGTAAGCAAACATAGTTGTTTCCCTGGTCATAGCCCACACTGCAGTCGTTGGCAAGATTGGTTGTCTACTGTAGTTAGGAGCTGTTAGATCCATGCTCGCATCTTCCTGCAGATGGAGGACATCAACTGATGCCCTACCTTCGATGTGCGATTAGGGTTACAATGAGTGCTTTACTTTCTTTATCTCGTTTTACAGTAATAAAATTATCATCAAGCTGCTGTGTATTTCCATAGGACTCATTTGGATTCAATTCAGAGAGAAGTTAATAAAAGAAAGGCTGAGAGTTGAAGAATGAACATAAAAGGCTCACCACAGCAATGAAAGAAGAAATATTCTGCCCAACAGCTTAAAATCAAGAAGCGGATTAAAAGAAACATGTCAACAAATGTAAAGCAATTTCTAATACCAACTCACTCACCTCCCAACAATCAAATTTTGCTGGTGAGTATACATACATGGGGAAGAAAACATGTGGTTGTTTAGTTCTTTTTGGCCTAATTATTTAGATTGGTGCTTCTTACTTTTACGGTCGAGTTGATGTTGTGTAAACAGCTTAACATAAGGAACCCAACGGCGCCCAAAAAAAAAAACAGAAATCAATGACTATTTCTTGTCTTTTGATCTTCTGCAAGTCTATGTTTATACTGTTTTGCAATTTCCTTCACGGATCAATGTTGTATCTGAGGCTTACTTCCTATTTCCTTAATCCAACAAGTCTGTCTTGGAAGAGCGCAATGTAACATGTCTTACAGAATGTTTAAATGGAGTTTCATGAGTATCTTTTGTCTATAATTGACTCATTCTGATATTACTTTATTCAGGTGAACAATGCAGCAGTTAGTGGACTAGCATTGTCTCCTGAGATTTTGAGTTCTTTCGAGCAAGTGGTAAGCCAAAATTTTTTCTTTAGGCACCTAAAACATGTAGAATGCCTTGAAACTTAGTTTGACTTTTGCCCAAAAAATAATAATGATCATGTCATGAAAATGATCTAGAAATATAATAATTTTTTAAGGTTGTGTTTTATGTATGTGGTAATCAACTTGTATAATGATGCAGCGAGATCGTTTAACAGACTATGCGAATTCAATAACAGAGACTTATGACATGGTTGAAGAATGCCTCTACATAAACTATTATGGAACAAAGGCAGTGACTGAGGCACTCATTCCTCTACTTCAGTCATCACAATCACCAAGGATAGTGAATCTTTCCTCATTCTATGGCAGACTAAGGGTATGTCATCCATGAAATGTTTGTCACCCTCAAATAGCTGGCAGTGAAAACAGACATTGCTTTAATCCTTCGTTTGCATATATCAGATGATATGGGTTTTAAATCAACTGAAAGTTTTAAAGCTTCTCACTTTTTTGTAATCTATAATCTCAATCCCTATCCTCCATCCTGTCCTATAAATGATAATATCTTAACCTCTTAGTTGTATTTGATAAATCATGTAAAATTTATGAACATCAAAGAATTTTTGCTTGAAAGCTATAAGAGAAACAAAAGCAAATTATCATATGACACAGATTTTGAAATCATATTTATATTGACCAATACTTGTAAAGATATTTACTGGAAAGCATATTCTGAGAAAATACATATTTAGATTGTCATCTAATTTTCATTTCCTCTGGTGGTTAGTCACATGTAGATAGATCACCATCTGCTTTAGCTACAGTTCATGTCCCAAATTTGATTCTGAAATGAGAGACTGTTGTGTTCATTAGTTTCCTTTTGCTATGCCATTCAACTCTGCTCTTTATGATGTCACAATCGGAGCCTTTTCTTATCCATAAAATCTTAGTTTCAGAGACTAATATAATTTATCTCAAATACTCATACGCAAAAAAATGAAAATTTTGACGGACAGACGGTGAACAGTAGTTGGGAAGAATCAATTGATCCTAAGTTCCTCTTTAGTCCGTGCATCTCTGGCTTTTAATTGAAGCCAGTTCCTGTGACTGTAAAGGCACTTCTGTTAACTTTTTATGTTCATGATATACAAAACTCATTGTTTTTCTTCAATGTTGTTGTTTCAGTATATCCCTGGTGATAGAATCAAAGAAGAGATGAGAAATGTTGATGTTCTATCAGAAGATAGATTAAATGAACTGTTGCAGTCCTTCCTAAATGATTTCAAGGAGAGGAAGCTGGAGGAAAATGGCTGGCCAACCCGCATATGTGCATACAAGGTTTCTAAAGTTGCAGTGAGTGCTTACACAAGAATCCTTGCTAAGAAGTACCCCAACATTTGTATCAACTGTGTGCATCCTGGAGTTGTCAAAACGGACATAAACTGGAACACTGGGGAACTGCCTGTGGAAGAAGGTGCTCAAGGACCTGTGTTCGTAGCTTTGCTTCCTGATGGTAGTCCATCAGGGCAATTCTATGATATGAAAGAAGTGTCATCATTTGAGTAAAATTTGTAAGCATAAAAAACTTAATTATATCATTGTTATGCAAAAAAAATTGATGTAAAAAACTAAATCAAATTATTATAAATCAAGAGGAGAATTATGTTTTTTTTTGTCATTCAGAAAATTTTTATCTGATCCAAGAATATATTATATGTAAAGTATGAATTATATATATTTTTTATTGGATCTATAAACAATGGAATGAGGACTAATGAAGATAAATCTCCTATATATATTTATATGTGAGAGTGACGATGACATACTTTTATATGCATCAACAAAGTCTTTTGTCTAATAGGTAAAAAAAGAAAAAGAATCTGATCACAAAAAAATAAAAGGGTTTATGGTATCAAACTCAATTATACTAAACAAATTTAGTTTGTTTGATGAGCACCACCGTCAATTTAATTGGATGATCAAATAGGTAGAGTTGAATCAGGTCAAGATTGCCAAAATCTACAGGAAGAATCTCTATAGGTGGAGATGCCCATGCGTGAAAGATAAATAAAAATATGCCATGCATGGAACGTAAACATATAAATATTTTAGTGATCGGTGCACAGAAACAAACAACAATAATTCATTGCTGCTGTTGCATTGTTCCATCATGTTTCATGTTCTTGTTCGAATGTCAACTTTAAAGTCAACTAACCCACTCACAGTCCTCTCTCTCTCTCTCTCTAAATTTATGAGCTACATTAGCATGTAAAGGGACAAGACAGACATGACAGAAGCCAGTGAACTTTTCTTTTTCTACATTCATGTAAGTTAATGTCGCCCTTCAATCTTGGTGAAGCCTATTAGTGCACCTCCATCTCATCTAATGAGCTAGACATTGGGCATCAATATTGCCTACCGTCTTTCTTTCAACTAAGCAAGTAAAACCTAAGCTCCTCATGCTCTCAGAAAGGCCACAGTGGTTCGGTGCAAGTTGCTCAGAGCTGGTTTTCAGCAACCCATCTTTTGAGACAGCAAGGAGGAGGCGGAGGAGGAAGAGGTAGCAGTTCTTGCATTCAGGAAAAGGCATGGTCGACTGTGCCTTGCAGTCGCTGTCGGCCGCTGCGTTGCAGGGGTCGAGCCGGGCGACGGCACTTGTTGAGGCATTGCATCCGACTCCCGGCACTCCTTCCCTGCTCGAGAGGAGAAGGGACCGCCTCTTATTCTCCGGGCAGCAACTGAGTTCTCTCGCTTGGAGGGACAGCAAAGCAAGAAGAATCGGCTCGGTCTGAGACATCCACTGTCAAGGATTCTCTGGTTGGAAGATGTTGACGTCTATAGATAACTCATTTGAGACTCTACCTCTTAGCGTCATGTCTTAAGCCACAAGTGAATATTTCTGCCCCTGGGCACGACTGTAATTTCAACGGTGAGACGTCAACGATCGGAAATAGTCATCTTGGAAGTCTCCTGTTTCTCCTCGGAGAGCTTGCAACCCTGACAAGAAATGGAAGGGACGACCCACAAACCAACCTCCCAAAGGATCCGATCTTTCAGGTGTGATCCATTCGACTGCAACTCCCTCGAGTGCCTCATCCTAATCTTACATCCTGGTGCTTTCTGCGGCAGGATCGCACTGGTGACAGGGGCCAACAAAGGAATTGGGCTTGAGACATGCCGGCAGCTGTTGTCCAAAGGCGCGACGGTCATCTTAACAGCCAGAGACGAGCAGAGGGGACTTGCGGCTGTCAGAAACCTTCAGGCTTCGGGTGCATCTGATGTGCTGTTCCATCAGTTGGATGTGGCTGACTCCGCTAGTGTTTCTTCCTTGGCAGGTTTCATCCATGACCAGTTTGGGAAGCTTGATGTACTGGTAAGCAACATAATGGTTTACCTAACCATAGCCTACACTGCTGTAATTGGCTCTCTAACATGCATCAAATTCCAGTTACCGTTGTGGTAAAGGATAGATGGTTGTCTACCGTATTAGATCCATGCTCACATCATGACACAGGAGGATATCAACTGACACACTGTCTTTGATGTACTGTTTGGGTTAGATTAAATGTTTTAGTTTGTTTGTCTCAATCTTAAGTGGTTGAATTGTCATCAGACTGCTCTATGCATCCAGAGGAGTCATTTGGATTCAATTCAGGGAGAGAACAAAAGGATGAGTTAAAAATGAGCCTAAAGTTCACAACAGCAATAGAAGAAAAATTCTATTGTCCAACATATTAAAATCAAGATGTGGATTACAGACAACATGTAAACCAATGAAAGCAATTTCTAATATCAATTCAGACACCTCCCACCATCCACTCTCTAGTGGATGTGAGATTTCCATCAGATCAATTTGGTTACTTCATCTCCGAATAACCTTTAGGAGATGCAACGTGTATCACCTGGTTCTCTGCATCTCTTCTGTTTTGGATTATTATTTTTCATCCACCATTGTTCTTGCTGTTTTCCACTTACAACAGCCTTTATTTCATTGGTTGTTGCCTCTTACTTTTACTGTATTGCTTATGTGAACAGATGAACATAAGGATATCCCTAAAAGAATCTGGAAATCATAAAATAATTCGGCTTCACTGTCTTTTTCTTGTGTTCTGATGACCTGCTATTATATGTATTAACTCTTGCAGTTTCCTTCACCTGTCTGTCTTACCATCTCCTGCTATTATATGTTTAAACTCTTGTAGTTTCCTTCACCTATCAATGCTGTATCTGAGGCTTACCTCCAATTGCCTTAATCTATGAAGTTTGTCTTGTAGTGAGTCATGAGCAGTGGAAGATTAAAATGTACCATATCTTACAAAATGTTTAAGTAGAGTTTCATGAGTATCTTTCATTTGTAAATTTCTCATTCTGGAAATTGTTTTCTCCAGGTGAACAATGCAGCAGTTCATGGAGTAGGATTAGATCCTCAGATTTTGGGTTCCTCTGTGCAAGTGGTAAGCCATATTAGTTTAATTAATCACCTAAAACATGTAGAATACCTTGAAACTTGTCTTGAATTTTGCCAAAAAAATAACAATAATCATGTTATGAAACTGATCTAGAAATATTTTGCCTCAAAACCCGTAACACCTACTTAAATTGTATATTTTTTTTCTCTATCGAGGAAATCATTTTGTGATTCTTTTTTCTACTGTGTGGTTGTTTTTGGTGTCATATATGTTGTCTTTTTAAGGTTGTATTTTATATATGTGGTAATCAACTGGTATGAATTGTTTGGTGCAGCCAAACAATTTAACAGACTTGAGAAATGCAATAATAGAGACTTACGACATGGCTGAAGAATGCCTCAACATAAACTATTACGGAACGAAGAGAGTGACTGAGGCACTCCTTCCTCTACTTCAGTCATCGCAATCACCAAGGATAGTGAATCTTTCCTCACTCTACGGAAAACTAAGGGTATGTCATCCATGAAATACTTGTCATCCTTAAATGGCTCCAGTAAGTCTACATCATTAGTTCAGCTATTTAAAACAACAATTGTTTGTTTCTGACGCCTTGTAGAACTTTGTGAGTTGTCATCCAAGGTCGATGAGACCACGGACCTGGATTTTGAAATCATATTTATATTGGCCAAATACTTCCTAAGATATTACTGGAAAGCATATTCTGAGAAAATATAAAATCAGGTTATCATTTATTTTTTATTTCCTCTGTTACCTAGTCGCATGTAAGATGGATCATCATCTACTTTATATTCCAAAGCATATGCCAAATTTGATTTCTAAAATGAGAGATTGTTATGTTCCATAGTTTCTCTTTGATATGATGCCATTCAACTTTGCTCTCTTCGATGCCTTATAAATGGTTGGTTTGGCAGGGATTTAAAGTTCAAGCAAATTGGAGGCTTTTCTTATCCAGAAATCATAAAATTGTATAGTTCCAGAAACTGATATAATTTATATCAAATACTCAAATACACAAGACAAATGAAAATTTTGACGGACAGACAATGGACAGTTCAAAATAACTAATTGAGTCCAAGTCCCTCTTTAGTCTGAACCTCTCTGGCTTCTAATTGAAGCTTTTTCTGTGACTACAAGACACCTTTGCCCATTCATAAATTTGCAATCTAATAAATTTCCTCCATTCTGAGCTTCTGCGAAAGTAGAATATTTTTTTCTGCTATTCTCATTCTCTTCTTTAATGCTGTTGTTTCAGTATATCCCTGACAGTAAAATTAAAGAAGAGATGAGGAACGTTGATGTTCTATCAGAAGATAGATTAGATGAACTGTTGCAGTCCTTTTTAAATGATTTTAAGGGAGGGAAGCTGCAAGAAAATGGTTGGCCAACCAGAACATCTGCATACATGGTTTCTAAAGTTGCCGTGAGTGCTTACACAAGGATCCTTGCTAAGAAGTACCCCAAGTATTGTATCAACTGTGTGAACCCTGGATTTGTCAAAACAGATATAAACTATAACTTTGGAGAACTGCCGGTTGAAGTAGGTGCTCAAGGACCTGTGTTTCTGGCTATGCTTCCTGATGGCAGCCCATCAGGACACTTCTATGATCTGGAAGAAATGTCATCATTTGAGTAAATTTATAATCTGAAATGTGGTAAACAGCTGTTTTATGTGGTGTAATTTTCCTTTGTTTCTATTTTACCACTGATGTGTAAGTTTGGTGATCCTTAGACCTTCATGACATACTTGCTGAAAGTTCTTGTTACAGTTATAATCCGTTTTACGCACATACATCTTTTATTGGCATACATAACATCAAAATGCTTCCAAGGAAATTTTTAATGTCAGTGTATAATTTCTTATCCAATTGCTGGTGAACGCTTTTATTGACAAAGAAAAGCACAGTTGAGGGGGAAAAAAGAGAAATCCAGGTTGCAGCACAACCTAGAACTGAATTCTTCTAGATTCAACCCACTTGCAATTCATCAAGCAACCAAACCATCTGAAATTTGACTGTCAGCTAGCACAGCTCAGAGCTTGAGAGTTTGGTATGGATACAGAGCTACAGCTATTCTTGTATTTTTTTATGAATCTATCCATGTTAGGCTCATCGATTGAGGGAGAAAAATGGAAAATCCAACTGCACCTCCCACCAGGATACAGTTCTTTTATCCCACATTCAATTCATGAAGCTACCAAACTCTCTGAAACTTGACTGTCAGGCAGCAAAGCTTAGAACTTGGAGAGATATGGATATAGAGGTACATGTAACCTTGGCTGCTACTGTTATTACAACCAAAGCCAAGCTAGATCAAAACAACTCTCCAGATTTTCCATTTCTCTTCTTTTATCAGCCATCAGATATGAGAGGAGGCATCTGCAGCCCAAGACAGAATTGGTACTTCCCGATCTCACATGAATTATTCTTGTTACAGGACCTGTTGGTCAGAAGAATGATAAGAAAAATTATTAGTTCTGCATGTTCTGAATCCAGTGCTACTTGTTTTTACAGGATTGCAGTGGTTACTGGAGCCAACAAGGGCATTGGATTGGAGGTATGCAGACAGTTGGCATTCAATGGAGTCAAGGTCATACTGACTGCCAGAGATGAGACAAAGGGAATGGAAGCTCTGGAGAAGATGAGAGACTCTGAGCTTTCCGATATCATCTTTCACCAGCTGGATGTGACTGATGCATCTAGCATTGCTTCCTTGGCTGACTTCATAAGGACTCAGTTTGGAAAGCTTGACATTCTGGTAAGAAAACTCTCTCAAATAGCAATCATGATACTAACTTCATGATAAGTTCATACTAATTAAACTGCAAAATTTCCAAGGAAGATTAAAGAATTTTACAGACGAAAATATTGAAATCTTCCAATTATTTGGAGTAAAATTCATCTATGATCTTTTTAGCTACAATTGACATACCTCCAGAATTCATTTGAAGTGTCTAACAGCTTGCTTACATATCACAGGTGAATAATGCAGCAGTTGGAGCATTAACTGTGGACATGGATGCTCTAAAAGCATCAAAACCCACAGATGATGAGGTATGTATGCAATAATATCAAACATATCTTGCTTATTGGTTGCAGCTATAATTAACCATTTGGTTTTTGAAGATGAACTAAATGAAGTTTGCCTGTCTGCAGAACACCCAAGATACAGGTGATATACCAGATTGGCTGAAGCCACATGTGGTTCAATCCTTTGAGATGGCAGAAACTTGTTTACAGACTAACTACTATGGTGCTAAAGCTGTCATTAAAGCCTTCATCCCCCTTCTCCAATCATCTCTTTCAGGAAGGATCATCAACGTGTCATCCACCCTTGGGCAACTCAGGGTACCCTTTTAATAGCTTTGTTTTTATGGAGTCCAATAACAATTTCTATTGTTCAGTAGCTCTCAAATTGCTCTTCCCATTATTACTCTGTACAGGTAATTTCAAATGAAAGGCTCCAAGAGGAGCTATCAGATGTTGATTGCCTGACAGAAGAGAGAATCGATCAACTGTCAACTTTGTTTCTGAAGGATTTCAAGGATGATTTGCTGGGTTCCAATGGTTGGCCAACCATGGCATCTGCATATAAAGTCTCTAAAGTACTTATCAATGCTTACACTAGGATTCTTGCAAAGACTCACCCTGCTTTGTGCATTAACTGTGTGAATCCTGGCTTTGTCAAGACTGACTTGAACTGGAACAGCGGGATCTTGACAGTGGAAGAAGGAGCTAAAGGACCAGTGCTATTAGCCTTGGGGTATCATGACAGTGCCACTGGCTTGTTCTTTGACCAAACTGAAGCTTCATCCTTCTGAAACATGTAAGCTTCATCTTTGATGAAGCTATTGGTAGGAGGACATTAAGGCGGATAGATGGATCTTTAGGAGCTCATGCAAATCTTGATTGCAACGCAACCCCCAACACGTGTGTGTAGAAGTATGGGAGCTTCCACTATGTTATGCCTGTCTTTTCCAAGAGTTAATAGATAAAAAGTGGGAAAACTCGAGAATATTTTTTGTCAATGATAATGCTGAATATGATTATGTATTGGATTAAAAGAGTTTTATCTCCACCTATATGAATCCAAGAGTTCAAACAGTCGCCCTCTCTAATCGATCCAATCGATCAACAAGGGAACGTCTTCTTCTACCGGATCGGAGATATGGAATGGATGCTTTTTGAATATGACTTCGTTACGACCTCCAACATCTTAGCGATCAATGGTAAGTTCTACTTCGTCTACTCCGAATGGTTGGTAGAGATCGACTTCGACTGCATTCATAAATATGCCGCAGTAGAATTAAATAGAAATCATAATAAAATAGATACCAAGATTTATGTAGAAAATCCCTCCAACATGAAGGATAAAAACTATGAGGTAAGCCAAAGAAAATTCACTATAAAAATAATGAATATATAATTTTCAGAGTCTCTTAAATCCCAAGCATCAATCCCCAGAAAACAATTGAGATTCAAAGATTATGTCATTATGCATAATATCTAAAATCTCCCCAAGTGATTATAACATGAATCCATCATAAATCTGATCTAATTTGAGATGAGAACACTATTTGGATAAATGAGAATATGCATTGTCCTTGTCTTTTTCCTTTTTTTCTTCTCTTATTTTTCTGTCCTCAACTACCATGGCTACTTCTCTCTTTTTCATAGCTACTGTTGTCCCTTTTTTTTTCCCTAGCCGCCTCACCTCATGGTTAAAAGAGTTAGGGTTTAGATTAAATGAGAAGAGAGCTAATGCTAAAGTGAGCTATGGGTTATTAAAGTCCACTATAGGCTGAATAATGGGTCACATTACTGTACTCGGAAGATAGCGTGGGTCTTTGCCTTGCTTTTTTTGAGTTCGATGGTAATTTCCTAGTGGAATCAGGATAATAGTTTCTGTTGGCCATTCTCGAGTCTTGGTCATAGCATCTCGACGTCTTCAAACCTGATCAAGAGATGATGGCATGGGTGAAGGCGAATGGGGGATAGATATGCGTCAAGTAGTTGACGAGCATTCTCATTGATCGCTCTTCTTACTCATCCTCCTCATTGGAAGTTGTAAAAGAAGTTTCCATCATTCTCACCGGCTACTTTATCATTCTCAACACTTTAATCATAAAACTCACTTGCGACTCTAAAAAACTATCATTAAAAATATAATTATTATATTAAAATTATCATGTGTTGAATTTTTATCAATGAAATGGATGAATAAATAAAATTAAATATTTTATTTTTATAATTATAAACTTTTTAATATAATTTTTTTAAATTTAGAAATTAAAATATTAAAAAAATAACTACAAAATAATTAGCCCCACAATCGATTATGCCTGCTATTTGATATCTTAGTGCTGTGTGAGTTATGTACGACGTTTAATATTTGATATAATGTAAATTTTTTTTAAAAAAAAAATAAGTCATTTTATTTAATTTTTATTTATTTTTATGCCACAAAAAGGATATAATTTATTTGAGTTGAAGACGTAAGCTTTGGGTTTTCCCACCTGAGACACACGTGGCAGGCAATTTCTGGTTCAACTTTAATACTCGACGGCTTCGGCGTCATTTCGCCTATCATGTTGCCCTAAGAACAAAAGAAGACCTCTCGCAAGGACAGAAATCGTTGCCTTCACTTCAATTTCTCCCAGGTTGTTCCCTTCTGCGAGATATATATAGAGAAAGAGAGAGAGAGAGAGAGAGAGGGAGGGAGAGAGAGATCTCTCTTTTCGAGTAATCCCTCGAACTTTAGTGCTCCTTCCGCTATAGCGCTACGGGGATCCTCCCGACCAATCCTGAGTCAGCCGAATCTTCCCCCTTCTCGCTTAGATTCGTTTGGATTTTTGCAGATCGGCCAACCCTTGTGTCGCAATTTGTTTTCTTTGTCCATCTTCATCGATCTCTCTTATTTTTTGCCGAGAGATTGCTTTTCGATTTTGTTCTCACTTGTTGATCGGCTTGGGAAGTCGGAGATGAACCCTAGAGGTAGATTTCCGCCGCCCGGCATGGGCAATGGCCGAGGGGGTGGCGCGAGCACGAATCCTGGTTTCTATGCGAGAAATCCTCAACAGCACCAGCATCAGCATCAGCAGCAGTATGTGCAGCGGAATCCGGGGAATGGCCAGCCGAACCGGCAATTCCAGCACCAGCATCAGCAGTGGTCGAGAAGGAATTGGGTAGGAGGTGACTCTGGTGCTGGCGAAGTAATGAAATCGGTTCAATCTGAGGCGACCGACTCCAGGTAAAACCGGAAAGGAAGGATCTTTGAGTGAAATTGTGGGTTTTGTTTTGTTGCTCTCTGTAGTTTTAACTTTTCCAATGTAGTTCTCTCTGTCTGTTTCTTATTGCATACTTGGAACTACTTGGAGAATCAATGAATTGCTTGGTGATTAGTTGTTTTCGTTAATAGGTGGCATTTGTTGGGACGCTACCATCGTGTGTGATTATCAATTTTGTTGATCTCTTGCGTAGTTAAATCTTCACTCTCCAATGCTGCGGAAAAGGATAAAATTTTGCTTTCTGTTTGAGACAAGCTTTATGACATATGTATGTCATGTTTTGCTTGTTCTTTGGTGGTATCTTTGCAAATTCAGGATGTTCGAAATGAATTAAATTGATTGGCCTCAACCCTGTTTGGTTGAGGGTTTTGGAAATATATAGAGTAATTGACTATTGAAAGTCGAAATCCTTAGTTGAGAGAGAGGTTGTTTCTTCTAAACCCCCACCCCCATTTTTATCTACCTTCCATTGATGAAGAGATCTTGACAACTGAAATTTGGAAAAGAAGAATCAATTTTTCTTTCCCTTCTCTCTTCTATATTCCATAACTCATCTAGGTTTTTCTTCTTTTTATCTTCTATCTTAACTCTTTAAAAATGTTAAAATGATAAAAATGATGATATTGTTTGCCTGATTTAAAACACACACACACACACATATGTGCATGTATGTATGTGTGTGTGTGTGTGTGTGTGTGTGAATTTCTCTCCTTTAGTTTGATGATGTCTCATTTATTGGTGTTTTAACCAAGCAGTTCTCTTGGTGTGGCTTTTTTTTTTTATGCATGTGGTGACCCAGCTTTTTTTGTTATAGAACTTTAGATAAGTCCTTGTCTTTGTTTTTCCTTTTTGTTGTATGAATGCATTGGTCACGTTTTCCTTAACAAAGCCAATTTTAGCTCATAATGCTATTGCTGTATTTCCTCCCCAATCAACTAAACCAAAATAACCTTTCTTTTGTATAATTTGAATCATGAAAAGGAAGGACATGCATCTATGCCTGAATTCTGTTACTAGGGAAATTAAATACTTGCCATTAACTAATGGAAACACATTGATGATGTGTTACATATTGCATGGATCTTAACCATTTAGAACTTAGTCATTGAAAACGATCTATGTAGCTGTATCCAAATAGTTGGGACATTACTTCTTGATGTAGTTTGTAGGTCTTTTGGGAAAAAATAATGCTGGAGAACACCTTTTTCTATTCCATTGGTAAGTAAATTAATCCAGGAGCAGCAGAAGAAATGTATTTACAGAATTAGAGTAGTGACTTTCTGGGTGATCAGTGTGCAATTATCTAGAGTAATATAGCTGCAAGGCAACCTTCTGGTTGGATAAAGACTTTGCCTGTGTTTAGTGTGTTACTCAGAGCAATGCAAAACTTTTCCTGATTATATGTAGAGGAATTTGGTGTCTTAGGATAATAGAATACTTGTTGAAATCTTCCAGATTCCTGCATGCTTCATCTCTTGAAAATGAGACAAAATAAATACGTACATACTGAAAACCTATAGTTTCAGCTACTGCTTTTTTTTCATGTTAACTTTTGAATTTACATGAGAACACAAATATTCTTCATTACAAAATCAGTTAACACATATCAGCACTTTGTTCTTTTAATTAATTTTTAATTTGATGGTTTCAGCTTGCAAGATTGGAAGGCACAATTGAAGATACCACCTGCTGACTCACGCTACAAGACAGAGGTCAAATTCACATTGATCTTTTTGTGAACTAGGATAAGGGAATAATACTGGATTTTAGGAGTTCCTTGTTTTTGAATGAAGTATTGTCTACCTAAGTCGTCCTATCAGTAGACTTATGATTTGTGAAAGTGCTGCTTTTTATGTGAATTTTCCATGATGAATTAATATATTTAGTCAAGGAAGTTGATTAATCACTTGTCTTGGTGTATTATAAAATGTAACTACATATTTTATCATAATAAACAAGTACCAGAGTTTTTATCTACGACAGAAGAATAGTATGTTTTCTTGTATATATGTAATATGATCTATTTAGATTTTTCTATGGTCATATCTTTGGTGCATTGTGTATTAGTTTTTTTAATATTGCGCACCAGTACACTGTATTGTGTTATCCTCTACTTGCATCTATGCTTCATGATCACCAACTTCTTTTATGATGATCACGGGAACTATCTTGTTGTATGTTTTCACTCATTTTACATTGCTCTATTCTTAAAGATTCTTCGATGTTCATTGTTGGTATAACAAAGTAATGTTATTCATCTGTCAATGATGTAGAACAAGTATGTGTAATAACTAGTTGGCTCTAGTATCTATTGGTTGTCAGGTCTTTTTCATTTAATATCTGTAAAAATGTTACCTTGTTTTGCCAGGATGTGACTGCAACTAAAGGAAACGAATTTGAGGACTATTTTCTGAAGCGGGAACTTCTTATGGGAATTTATGAGAAGGGTTTTGAAAGGCCTTCACCTATTCAGGAAGAAAGCATTCCTATTGCACTCACTGGCAGTGACATTCTTGCCAGAGCTAAAAATGGGACTGGGAAGACAGCTGCATTTTGTATTCCTGCACTTGAAAAAATTGACCAAGATTGCAACGCTATTCAAGGTTTCTCATTGTACTCTTTTTGTTATTTGCAGAAGTTGTTCCTCCGTATTGCAGAATTTATTTAAGTTTTATCCATTGTGCCAGACCCCATATTGCTGGAAGACTTGTCCACTGATCTGCCCTTTTCTTAATGTATTTGTTTATCTTGTATTCTTTATTAGTT